CCCTCTCTTGGCCTTGACGTGAGGCCCCTCCTTCTGTTTTCCTCCCTCTGTCAATTTAAGCTGTGCGCGGCCCGCTTAGCGTCGACCGGAAGAGGCTCGCTCTCGACCCGCGGATTAAAAAAAATGCAGTGATGGGACCCTCCGTTCGCCGACAGGGAGGTCGGGGTCCGTGGACGTGATGCCGAGGCTAGACTCCCAGGGCGCACTCGAAGCTGCCACCAGCACTGGGAGGCACACTCACCAGACGAGGGGCGAGGGCAACGGGCAAGAGGAGGGGGGGAAAGCAGGACAACGACGAGGGAGGACCAGCAGCAACAACAGCAAGTTAAGATAGGCTAAGCTGTGACACTACTATGATATCAGTGACCACGGATGTCCACTGCGAAGCTCTGGTTGGCAACTGAATATGGAAGTAATCGTGGCCCTATGGGACTCAGCAGGAGAGGATTTGAGCATGTCATCTGCCAGGGATTCCATCGCGTGCGGCCCAGAAGCACCTGGACACGACGGGAACAAGTACTCTGCACACCGCCTTGGACACAAAAGGAGCTCGGTGCCCCCAATCGGGGCACCGTTCGAAAAGAGGTCTAGCCACGACGCCGAAATATATTCAGCACTCGCAGACAGTCGGCGCAAAAAATCAAAAGCCTCACTAAAATGATTGTAGGGGCATGTTGCTCGTCGATCTCTGAACTTCCTGGGGTGTCCCCGGGCTTCTGTGGGCCCACGGGTCCGTCGTGGGATAACAGGTGTACGTGGGGAACATGTTGGCACACCGGTTTCCTACTCGATGTGCCTACAGTATGCGTCCACACCATCGCAGCATCATAGAAGAACAATCTGGCCACCACGAGGGCCCCATTGGCAACCAATGAAAGGTGTTCCCTATCCGCCGCCCCTGGCGCGTAGCGGAATGGTTTGGGCCAAGGCTGCCTGGCTGGCTGGGCGTCCGTACAGTTTGACAGGACCCCCTCCTCGTCTCACAGAGTCGCGTGCCCCCCCCTCCCCCCCCGAAGCTTGCTGAAGCCCCGGCGCCTCCAAGGCAGCTTGCAGCGCCTCCAAGGTGCCCAAGACCACGGCCGGAAGTTTCTGACTCGCGTTTCGCAGCGGCGGCCCCGGCGAGAGGCGATGCCCTGCAAGCAGACAGGCGTGTCGCTCTGCTCCGCGGGGCGGGGCGCGCCGGGAGGGGCTCAGGGCGTGGGCGCTTGAACATTGGGACATGAACGTGGACGCTTGAACATTTTGTTTCGATAGGCGCACTACAGCGCTGGGGAAAACCATGTTTTAAACTGTCTCCCAAAAATAATGTTTAATATTTAAAACAGTTTTAAGATGTTAGCGTGTCGCGCCGAAGCGTGGCGGGCCAGAGCCAGCGGCGCCACACGCTGAGCAAGAGTTCCTGACGAGAGCTGACCGCCAAGCTGGCCCGACACGTGCGTCAGGAGGAGCCGAACATCCGTCGAACAGGCGTTCGAGGAGCTCCGCGGGGCCCCACAGAGTCCTGCAGTGGGGCCACCGAGAAGGCGAAGGAAGCGTTGGTTGTTCTCTGGCCTGCCGCTTGGGCCCAAAAGGGCCCGGAAGAGCCGTCAGAGGCTCGGGGTGTGTTTCACCCTCGTGCCACATGTGCCCTCGCCTCCCCCTCCACCTCTCTATCTGCATCATCCTGCTCCTCCTCGAAAAGGCGAAGCCGAAATACACGGGGCTCATCATCAGAAGGCTCACCCTCTAATGTTGAGTTTGTGTATGTTTGCGCTTTCTCCGCGCACATGCCGCACACCGCGTGCAGACCCCCTGTGCGCCTCTGTGAGGGGCAACGTTGAAGCCGCCGTCGCCCTGCACATGCCAACACACGCCATGCATCGCCCGGATCCATGTCCACAAGTTCGGTGACCAGGAAAGCCCTGCCGTGCCCGCGTATGGCCGCCCCCGCCGCACTGCAACAGAAGCAGCAGCTTGCAGGAGCTCCGCGCCCGGCAACCTGGAGAGCCCCTCCAGGAGAAGTACCACGAGAGGAACAGCAGTCTTCGAGGCCAGCACGAGAGGAACAGCACCTTGCAGGAGATCCGCGCCCAGCGACCCGGAGAACCCCTCCAGGAGAAGTAACCTACGAGAGAAACAGCAACCTTCGAGGCCAGACTCGCAGGGCGCCTCCGGGCCTGGGCGGGGCACGCGCGGGCCGAAGCCTGCCGACCCAAGGGAATTGGAAAGAGGCCGCGGCCGCGGAGGCGGGGCGAGGGAAGCGGAACGCCAGAAGGAGGCGGGAGCGGCCAAGAGGGGGGTGTCCAAGAGGGGGGGGTGCAAATCATGACCGGCGGCACGTGCGCGGCCCAGCCAGGGACGCAATACAACAGGAAGAGGCGCCACGAAATCTGGGGAGATATCATGGCCCCCGCCATGAGATCCACCCCCCCTGGTCATCACCCCCCCCTTTTCCGCCCCCGAGGGAGGGAGTCACGACGGGAGGCAGGCGACCGGCCGGGCGGACCAGCGCCGACATATGCGCAGCGCGGCGGCCGCAACGGGGGCAGCACGTAAGCTCCCAGAGGCCATCAACTGGTGCTAGGGTTAAGTCGGGCCTGTCCTCCTACAAAGGGATTTTCGACGAAATATAACAAGTATTCAAAAGTACTCCAAAATGCTAAACAAAAAATGCTAACAAAATAGTCCCCGGACTATTTTTGGACAATTGCTTGACTACTTTTTGTGTATCTTTTATTTTTCGCCGAAAATCCCCCTGCAGGGGGACACGCCCGACACAGTGCTAGGGCCGTCAGTGGCGGGCCAGTGGGGGCCCGCGGGCGCCGCCCGAGCTCCTGGCCCCGCACACGCCGAGCACACGCCCTGCACACGCCGGCACACAAGATCTGCACAGGCTCGCAGCGCGCCCGGGTCGTGCAGTGTTGAGCGAAGGAGCGGGGGCAAAGGACTGGGAGGAGCTTCGCCGTCTCCGCCAAAAGCACCGGAAATCGCCCAGCGAGCAAGAAGGGCCACCTCCTGAAACGAGCGATCCTCCTCCTCCTCCTCCTCCTCCTCCCCCCTCCTCCTCCTCCTCCTCTTCTCCTTCCTTCTCCTCCTTCTCGACGAACTGACGAGATGAAGGCGCATGAATCCGTCGGACGCCGCCATCCCCGTCGTCCTTCTCCTCCTCCTCCTCCCCTTCATCCTCCTCCTCCTCCCCCTCCTGCCCTCCTCCCCCTCATTCTCCCTCTTGCGGCGCTGTGCAAGCATGTGCGACCGCACGTGGCCGTGCACCCCCTCGCGGCCATGAACGGCGCCATGTGCGGGCATGTGCGGTCGTCCGCTACAGGGTGTGCGGTCATGTGCGGAGGTGCGGGGCGGGGGCAGGGGGGGCATGTGCGGCCTGCTGTGCGGACCTATGCGGGCATGTGCGGCCGCGCGCGGCCCTGTGTCGCCACGTGGCCACGAACGGTGCCATGTGCGGGCATGTGCCGCGCTATGTGCGGGCATGCGGGGGCAGCGCCGGGGCAAGCAGCTGCGTTGTGGGCACTCACTGTATCGCCCGATGCCTGCAACGGTGCTCATACATACTGCGCGAAAGGTTCCCAAGCACGCCACGCATATGCGCGCACAGAGGCAGGCAACACTCAAGGGCGGGAGCTGCGCAAGAACAATGGTGGAACAGCTCAGAGAACATGCCCCCGCACATGGCCGCACATGTGCTCAAGCCACTAGAAATTAACGCCTTGATGTCGAAACCATTTGCAAGTGGGCACATGCCGCGCACATACTCGCACAACGAGCGCACATGTCGAGCCAACATCGCCGGCAAATACCAAGGAATAGCACAAAGATCGCGAGCCCTGTGTAAGGAGAAGGGGGAGGAAGAGGAAAATGGGGGGGGGGAAATACACGATGGCGACGACGACGACGACAAAGACATCGGCCATGGCGAGATCGACGACACGACGACGGAGACTGCGGCGACTGCGGCGACAACGAATGCAACGGCAACAGCAATAGAGACGACAACACCCTCCTGCTCCTCGTCCCCCTTCTCCTTCACTGTCGCCTCCACCTCCCCGACCCCCGGGACCTCCCACTCCTCCTCTGCCCTGCGCTGTCCTCAGTCCTCCTCCTCCTCCTCCACATCGTCCCCCTCTTCATTGTCATCAAATCTCCTCCTCCT